ATTCGAGCAGAGTGGAGAGTTTGTAGTTTTACTATGTACCACTTACTGTCTAACTGTTCCATTCCTTACAGAACTTATCTCACTCTGCATTCGTACTCGCAAATGCTGCTGGTACCTTGGGGTTTCACGCGCGCCAAACCCACGGATTTCGACGACCTCATGAACATAGCGAACAAGGCGAAGAGCGCCATTGCCAAGGTTCACGGTACCGAGTACAAGGTCGGCGCGGCCACCGAACTTCTTTATCCGACAACAGGTTAATCATTATGCGATCGATACTTTATAGACATGGAGGAGGGCAAGAGCCGATTATTCGAAAATAATGTTAACGAGGAGCGTCCGACTGCTTCCCTCCTCTCTCAATACGCGCAGTTTATATTTTATTCTGTATTTACGTAGGAATGTGCGATAAGATCTCGCGATAGCTCGAGGCGCTATTTACAATTTACTTGTGAGAATATATCACCTTACGATCCATCACTTTCCATCGTAATAGCCCGTGTATTTTTATACCTGACATATTTACCTATTGAAAATTGGCAATTAAAGCCCAATAATCGCGCTAAGACTTTACTTTATTGCTGAAGGACATTTCACGCTTACGTCTGCTTAACGGCATTATAAATACTTATGCGACTTTTTCGCAATTCTAGGCAATAACGTCGGATATTATTTTTTTCAATAGCAAACTAATGCATAGTTAATACATTTTAATTTAAAATTTAAAATTTTATTTAACGCAATGCTAATCATATTAGACTAGTGCGGCATTAAAGTTTAATTATTCATTTTTAATGGAGAGATCGGATAATAGGGAAATGCTCGTATTAGTAATGCCGTGTTATCTTATTCGGTTAAACGACACATTCTCACAACATGCAAAACGAGCGTGCATTAGAAAGTCAATTATACGTTAGTGGGCAACGCGATTGCGACTAATGGAGTGCACATACTTTGTAAGAAGCAATAAGTCACGATGTCTCTCGGTCTACTTCGGGCAACGCGATACACTCCCCTGACATTCTCTCACGAGTCTTTTGCCTGCTTTTGTATTCTCCGCTGCGACACATTGTCCACACCGACATTGTCGCTACCAATGTACAATCTACTCGCACCAAACGTACCAATACTTTCTCAATGTGTAGGCTCATCGGACGACTGGGCCAAGGCCATCGCCGGCATAAAAAATGCCTTCACTATGGAGCTTCGCGACCGGGGCGCTTACGGCTACCTCTTGCCGGCCTCGCAAATCATCCCGACTGCTCGGGAAACCTGGGCTGGTGTGCGGGTGATCGCTCGCATGGCGGCCAACACGAGCAACACGAGCAACGGCTCGCAAAGCGCTGACGTTCGAGGCGGCAGCCGAGTCTCGTCATAAGCAGCCGTTCCATCCGTTCCACAGATAGGAGAAGACAGTATCGTTCGAGTGGCTTATCTCTCACATTCAATTTCCTCATAATGTCTGCATTTCTTTCTCTTTCTATCTTTCTGTTTCTTTTTTTTTTTTTTTTTTTTTTTTTTTTTTTTTTTAATTTGTTGTTGTTGTTGTTGTTGTTGTTGTTGTTTTTCTGTTTTTCATTGTTTCGGATGAAAATATATATATAAGAAGTATTTGTAATTCGGGGATATTTGAGGGAACTGTATCGTCGATAATACGTTAAGAAATGCATGAGTAGGCAGGGTAAGCATTTATACGGATTATCATTGGAATTTAATAAAAATGCTTTCTATAAATAAGGCACTATGTAGGGTAGAAAATTATTATAGAAAATTGCCGACTTAGTAAGAATTTTTTGACAATCGCCTTTTTGTGAGATTAATCCTGTACAAACAGTGACATTGTTGCTCATCCTTCAGTTATTTTCATTATCAATCGTCATAATTTGATAACGCTAAAATATTTTTATACAAATATACATAAATGTATTTTTATCTGATATATATATAAATTTGTATGTGTGTGTGTGTGTGTGTGTGTGTGTGTATTTGTGTATATTATATGTTATGCGGATACGTGAATGAAATCGACATGTTCACAAATAAAGTGACAAAAGCCCAGGAGAAAAAAAAATTTTGAATAGCCAATTTTAAGTATATTATGTACTGTTATTTTAAAATCAAAGTTGATTCTAACATAGAGAGTTAGAATGAAATGAATGTAATTCAGATGCGATGTAGATACGCAGATGATCGATTAACTGACAGATTAGTTGGAATGTTAGTTACGATGTAGCTATCGAACTATTTGTTTATTGAATGTCATTGTATAGCAAATAACTTTCTATTGTTTTGATGTAAAAGCGGATCGGTAAATCGATCAAACATACTCAGGTTACCTGATCAAAGTATTTATAAATGCTGAATTATTTCTTAATGTTTTACGGCGCAATTGATATTTATTTATGTATTTGCTCATGTAATACTGTATTTAACGTGTGTAGTATTTATTAAAGTATCTTTACCAATATGAAATCTTGATTTTATTCTGAATTAATTCTAAGCTTATACATTACTGCAATTCATTTTATTTCTCACCATGATAATAATGGTGATATAATGGCACATAATGATTTCTATATCCTCGTATTTACAATTATCTGTATTGTTAAAATATGTACAGCAAAGATCTATAAATTAAGGAACACAAATTGCATAATGATATTATTCTAAAGTTTCTTCGCTACAATTATTTAGCATGTTAAGTGCTAGATTATTTTTTATACAAATGAAAATTTATTACATATGGACATACATGAAAATACATTTCTTTAACGGGAAATTCATTTTAAATTCAATGAAATGAAGAAATACAATGCGTATTCTTAGTTTCATTATGATAAATACATATTTTTCTACATATGATTATACAAAAGAAGATGTACGCTTGGTATCTATAGACATTAAAGATTAATTACAAATAGTTCTAGAGATTATTTCAAATTATAAACTTAGTATACGGTTAATTACATGTATACATACATATATGCGGCAATGAGAAATTGACATTGAAAAGTGTATTTGAAGTTTACTTTTCCTATTTCATTGATTAAAATCCATGCGCTTGATTATGTAATAATGTAAAGCTAATTAATTGATAAACTACAAATTTTAAAAAAATTCTATTTTGATTTTAAGTTGCTATAATATCATATTTTTCTGAAAAAAAAAAGAAAAAAATTATCTTAATGAAAACAATATTTTATTTTTATTTTAGGAGAATTACAGAATAACATAAGTTTACAATAACAAAAGTTCAAAGTGTATGTTAAATTATTTCTTTATCTACAATGATATAATGATTACGATAATGGCATCATATTTTTATTATAACGTCGCACAAAATTGTCCAATTTATATTTCATATTATATGTTTTATTTAGATTTTAATAGACATTAATAGACACTGTTTTCTAATGAAATTAAGCTGTATAATTTATTTGAAAAAAAAAAAAAAAAAAAACGAGTCAATTCCTAAAAATATTAATTTTGTTAATAATAAGTTCTTTATTAAAAATTACTCATCTGCCATATCGAGTGACAATTTTTTTTAATTGCAAAGTATTTTTATAATATTGTTTATATGGCTTTGTTTTGTGAACACTAAATGATACTGGATTTTATGAGATGTCCCTGTAATCTTTTTATTATATTTAAAAAAATTTATCTTCTTCAACCGCTAGCATTATTTGAAACACAATTTAAGAAGTTTTAATGAAATAAGATTTATCACTCTTGAGAGTATTAATCATTGGAATTTTTCTCTCTTATCTAATAGACATAGAACAATGTTTATTTAGTCGATATAACTAGATTTTAATACAATTATTATAAAATATGAAACATATATTCAATATGTAATGTCACGGTGTAGACTCGGATCACTCTTCTATATTAAAAAAAAAAAAAAAAAGAAAGAAAAATTATACACGAACATTTTATAAAATACTTTTAACAGTTTTTATTCTAATTTATGACTTGAAAAGAAAATGATAACCTGCTAACTTGAATTTATATTTGAAAATATTTATTTATAAAGCTTTTACATTGCATTATTTATAAGAACTTTTATGTATAATATGTATTTTGTTTTATGACAATGTTTTTGCACGAATTATTAACGCAAAAATATCTACAAGAGCGTATAATAGTCAATTTAGATATTAATTGTGGAATCAGAGCATTTGTTCTTATACGATAAAAATTTTTGCCTTATAAATTCATGTTTCTGTATTAATATACTTTTATCTGTAATCAAATAATCAAATGTTTTATAGGTTTTTAAGGCAATTCCATAAATGAATAGTTTTTTTTTTTTTTTTGAACGAATATGACATTTTATATGCGGCTATTAGTAATAATAAAAATGATATAAATTGATTACAAAACGAAATTGGTTTTACATTTTTAGAATGACTTTTAAACTGGTCTCACTCATTTATTTCTTACTACTCATTAATTCTGGTAAGTAGCCATTTATAAAATACATTTCAATTATATCGATTAACAAATATACGAATATTTGTAATTATATATGAGAAGTAAAACTATTAATTGCTTCTTTTTTTCTTTTTTCCTTTTTTTTTTTTCAACTTTTTTCGTTGTTGTGAGTTTTATAATATTTTGAACGAAAACTTAAAAAATTCAATGTTCGGTTTCTATAATTAAATTTTTTCGACACCGAATAACAGTATTAAGTAAGTCATACGACAAATTAAAATTCATAAATTCACATTTCAAAGAGAAAGATAATTTTTTATATTCTCATAATATACCTAGAAATTTAATTGATAATTTAATTAACGAAGAAAATATTATTGAATAACGTAAGGTCTATTGACGTTGAAAAAAAAAAAAAAAAAAAAAAAAAATAATCTACATAATAATTCTTATAAAATACCGTAAAATATTTTCAATTTATAATTATTGTCATTGTTATAATATTATCTTTTAATTATACCATATAGAAAACTGCTTGATTCACCCTTTAATTTTCAACAAAAATATCTCCCAATACCCAATATTATTATAATATAATCATTTTATATTGTACAGAGTATGGTAGGGTTGTGGCTTCGATATCGGACAGTCGAATCGTCGATGGTTACGACGCCAAGATTGGAGAATTTCCGCATATAGTATCGTTGCAATCAAGGCCGTGGGATTCTCGTATTTTGAAACACTTTTGCGGTGGAAGTATTATTAGAGCAAAATGGATTTTGACTGCTGGGCATTGCGTCGGTTTATTGCCTAACCCCGACGTATTTGTCGTCAAGGCTGGAAAGTATAAAATCAATATGAAAGAGATTACCGAACAAGTCGGTACAGTTGAGCAGAGCTTTGTTCATAAATTATACCGCGGGTGAATATTTATTTTAGACTTTTTATTATACTTTATGACTAAGTCTTATCTAGATAAACATTAATTTGATATATTATAACTACGTATTATAAACGAGCCCATAGCTATTACAAAGATATTTTAATAAATTACAATGAGCGTATCGATAGATTTATAGATTTTAGCATCTGCTCTGAAGTCTAAATAATTTAATTATTTTGTTCATTATTTTTATGAGGATAGAAGTGGTGAAACGTGAATTAATTTATCAGAATAAAAATGAACGTTTTAATCTATCCGTAATACCATATTATAAAATTAACGATTATCATTAGAATATTAACTGAAAATTAAAGTAATTTAGACTTTATTTAATGAAATTATAGATCTCATGCTTATTAATCTTTAATGTTTAAATGAGTTTACTAATTGTTAAAAAAAAATTTGTCAAAAGCACAACAAACTTTCGCAATTATTTTTAAGAAGTTTTAAATATTATTATTATTGAATACCAAGTGCATTTATCATATTGTTATTGTATTCGTTAATTTTTCCAAATAGAATAGAAAATTTATTAAAAAAAAAAAAAAAAAAAAAAAAAAAAAAAAAAAAACAAACCGTCGACGATTTATTAAAAGCATAAAGCATTACAAAAAAAAAAGTATACGTATCACTATCAGATTAATTGATCATCTTGATTGCATTCTGTAATCAGTCAAGTCAAAAAACTTAACTCTTTACGTATATGAATATAAAATAAAACCATGACTGATTTAATGACAGATTGAATTTAATTATTTTATACGAGTCTTGTGCATTATTAATCAAAATACATCTTTATTTATAAATACAGGGGCACGGCGCCATATGACATAGCGTTACTAAAACTCCATAAGGCATTCAAATTTAATCAATATGTTGATTTCATCGACATTCCCCATCCGAATGCAAAAACCTTTGGTAACGTTACCTTAGCTGGATGGGGTTCCATTTCCAATTCACAAAGTCCCGAATATCCCAGTAATTTACAAACCGCCAGATTACCCATTCTTGACTTTAATACTTGCAACGATACGATTGTAAAAACACTGCATCGATCTCTATTGCATTCGACCAACATATGCACTGGATCACCCGTAAATGAAATAGCACCATGTAGCGTGAGTAGACAAGATGCTAAAATAATAAATTTATCATTTCTTTGTATTTATTGAGTCATATGCTATTATTTTATTGGGGGAGGGGAAAAATGTCATTGTTCATATATATATTTAAGTGATTTCATTATTTGTAGGGTGATTCTGGCAGTCCTTTAATGACCATTAATAAAGACTACAGTCAACTAGTCGGAATTGTTTCCTGGGGCATGATTCCTTGCGGTATGCCCGATATTCCGTCCATCTACACTAGAGTATCAGCATTCGTTGAATGGATCGAAGAAACTATTAGCAAAAATTCTTAATATAAAGATTTTCTTATTTAATTTCTATTGCTGTTTTGCGAATAAATTTTATATTTTTTAATAAACTACTGTTTTATTTAATGGTCGATAGTACGTTAACACGAGCAATAATTTTTATTCTTATTACATATGGTCTTCTATATACTTGATATGCATTTTAATAATTGTCTCCTATTGGATGATCTTGTGAATTATTTATAAATTAAATGCCGTACATAATGAATACATCTACACACATACGCCCATGCTCGTATTAAAAATTCTAATTTACAAATAAATATTACATAACAATTTATCATTAAATTTTAATTAGGTTTTATGAATAAATTTTTAAATGTCAGTTTAATTATATATTTTATAACCAATGACAATTAAAATTTCTCGTTTTTTTTTTTTTTTTTTTTAAACTTGATGGATTATAAGTACTCTTTCCTAAATAAGGAGACTTGGCCTGGTACTCTATACATGTTGAAAATATAGTAAAAGTTTCACGTTGAAAATAAATAACCACGACATTGGTTACAATTCAATTCTAGGCGAAACGAATGAAAGTCCGATCCCTTTCAAGTAGAGAAAGTTTAATGAAAATCTATTTGAATTTAATTATAGCAAGTATCTTTCTATATCCGCATTTATATTTATGTCCTTCGACAGTTTTTCCTTTTAATACTACATTTGTATTTTAGAAATTTTATTTCTTAAGATTAACTTTTTGTCGACAAATGATATAATTTATAAACTACGTGATAAATCGTGTTTTATTATCTGTAAAAGAAAAGAAAAGAAAAAAAAAATTAAAATTAACATTGTTAAATTTTTTTTTTTTTTTTCATTTAAGTTGTTCAATAAGTATTAATATTTAAGAAGACATATCGACAATATTTAATAAATAAGTTTTTATATAACAAAGTAATAACACATAGAAATTAATACTTACCATTTATAAGTAGAAATGTTGATTTTTGCATTGTTTTGCAATTATTAGATTTTCATTTCAATGGAAAGAAAAAAAAATTGTATGCAAACAATTTTACATTATTTTACATTAAATTGCTTAAAGTATTTTTCAAGATATACATCTTGTTTTAAATATATATTCGCGAATGTCATCATTATAATTATAATTATTATATGACATAAATAGCAAATAATCGAAATTTATATTTATATCGTTATATTATTGTACACTCTCGTTAATTTTTTAATGTAAATATTTATTCTTTAAAATTATATTTTAACCGAGTAATAATTAATTTTCATAATCTACGAGATTAAGTGATGAAGCCTCTTGCAATAATAAGCCTTATGTGAATTTAAAAAACACTACGATTAACTTAAATATTTTCTTTATTACAATGAAGATAGCTGATATTACAAAATTAGTTAATGAAAACTAATTCGGATAAATATTAATTTTTAAATTGTTAATTATTTTTATCATAAGATTATTAAATTCTAATGCATTATATAATTATTATGCACATTCAATATAACGATATTAATAACATTGTTGTGACAAATCTGTCTTTTTATTAAAAAAAAAAAAAAAAAAGAAGAATTTATTAATATAAGAGTTTTAGAAAAAAATTTATAACAAATAGCACTGTTAAAGCAATAAGGTATTAAACCGAAATTACCCCTTGTATTTGTAAAATTATAGAACTTCGCTTACTGCTCATTTCATGTAGTTAAATTTCAAGGCTTTTGAAATAATATGAGAATTATTATAAAATATATTTATATATTAAATTATTGTTAAGAGACTAGAAAAAGCTTTTTACGACGATAGCTAACACATAAAACTGATGATAAAATGTCCAACATTTATGACCATACATTGTAAATGTATTAGAACGAATTATAAAGATAATAATGTAAATTAGATTAATTATATTTCAACTTTCTTTATAGAAAATTTTTATATTTCAAACATTGTTTTATAAGCATCGCTTTTCATGGGATTACATACTGTTTCTATCATTAATGAGATTTATGAAAAATTATAACTCCTTTAACGCTAATATAAATTATGGCAAACGTATGGCATTTTAATAACCAAAAAAAAAAAAAAAAAAAACTGTTTGTTTTTGTATCTGAATGGAATAATAATAATAATAATAATAATAATAATAATAATGATAAAGGATCGTATTTTATGTATTGCAAGATATATTTCGAAAATAACTATCACATGGCACAATAATTACTTTACATCGCATAAAAATACATATCACATGTTGAAAATGAAAAACTTTTTTTTTCAACCTATGACATTTTACAAACAACATCTTAAAACAGTTCTTTACTCTTAATTATTATTTATAATTGACTCGATCCAGTCGATGTAAGCCGATACTCTGGTATAAACCGATGGAGCTCCAATTGTACCGCAGGGTATGATTCCCCAGGAAACAATTCCAATTACTTCAGTACTTCCATCAGATTCACTTTTAATCAATGGACCACCAGAGTCACCCTAAATTGATAGAAATAAAGCGTCCGATAATATCAATCTATTCATGTAAATATTCAAAGATTTGCATTATTATATTAAAATATTATTATGTGTATATAGCATACATTCGTGTTTACTAAATCGAGTCGAGTAACTAGGCATTTAGAAGGTGTAAAAATGCAAATATTCTCTTATTATTTGAATAGAAAAGAGGTGAAAGAAACTTACACTGCAAGCCGAGAGATTTTCCGTTAAGGGACCAGTGCAAATATTTGTTGCGTGGAGGGGCGTCCATCCAATGAGCGACTCTAAGGCTTCTCTGCATGTATTTAGATCAACAATACTTAAAGCCACCTTTTGCAAAGTATTAGGCATTGAAGGTATGCTAGAATTCGAGGTAGAACCCCAGCCGGAGAGTATCACCTCACCGTTAACGGATTTGTTTTTTTGTGGTAGCCTAATTGGTTGTGTAAAATTATCAAAGACGAAAGGCGTTTTCAGCTTTAGCAGTGCGATGTCGTATGGCGATACACCACTGTTAAAAGAAAAATGCTTTTAAATTTATCGTATTTATATTTCTTGACTTTTCTTCATTTCATTATAAATTCGTCTCGATAAAGATTTTGCTTTTAATGAGAAACTGTCGATTATAGCTTGCCGAGTATGTGATTGTTAATAATAAATTGCGTAGGCACGCTTTTTATCATAAATTACAAATAATTTTCATTTTTGGTGAATTACATTTGAAATACCAGTACTAGGATCATTATTATTTGAGGAAAATTAATTATCGTAGGAATCATTTGTAAGGGAACTGAAATTAAAATTATAATTGCACATATCATAAGTGAGTTTAATGCTACCTTAGAGTGAAAATAAAAAGTGAGTGAAAGTCCTAAAGAGAGCGGTTAAAATTAATTATAAATTAACTCCAATCGCCCAGTTGATAAGATTAGACGAATTAGACTACATAATACTCTTTAGTAATTTAATAAAATAGTCAAGCCTTGTAAAATCTTACCTTGGATATTTCTCATGAACAAAGATTTTTTCGACCTTAGAGTCCTGCTCGCTTTGCTCGACACTGTGTATCAAATGCTTTCCAGCTTTAACATACAAATTGCCGGAGACTGCTAATGGGCAATGAGCGGCCGTTAGAATCCATTCGTTGTTCAGAATACTTCCGCCGCACAAGTGACGTAAAACTGGTGGATATCCCCATTGCAATGAGATTTGATGTGGGAACTCACCTTTACTGGCATCGCTGCCACCAACAACGCGAGTATAAAAACGAGATAGTGAAGGTCGTAAGCCGGCGTAGGGTTTTTCTAAACATTCCAACGATACGTTTTTAAAGTCCTTCGATCGTTAGTTCATCAATATTTCTTTAGTTAATTAACAAAGTTAATGCTAAAGTCTTGTATGAACATTGATGATTATTATGAAAGAAGAAAAAATAACACTAATACATTAGTAATATGTGATTGATCGAATATACAATACATAATTTAAGGAATTGAAATAATGTGTGGAGCGGTAAGTTTTTAGACGGTTGCTTAGAAAATTCAGTATAATTTTAGAAAACGTATACTTCACAAAATAACAATAGTAATTACATTATATTACAATTAATATAAAAATTCGATTCAAGTTTTATAAGAGAATTTATTAATATTTACGTGCATAAATTTAAAAGTACTCACCGGAATAACAAATTGCTAAAAAGCAGGAGACCAATGCAATTTTTAAATGCATTTTGTAATTAATAAATACGTACAACAGAAGCTCTTTATATATACCCTTAGTAATAAACATTATCAAGATTTTAAAAATTGATATATCTTAAAAAATATATTAATTTGATTTAACATTGATGATTGTGATAAATTAATATAATTATCAATAATAATTCATTAATTAAATTAAATGCTTTTGTTATGAATTACTGTAAAGTTCATAATCTGTCTAAATCTATAAAACAATTAGCTACTTAAACTACATATTGTTAAAATAAATTACTCTATTATTGTGGTATGTAAAGCTAAACTATCTCATCGATGAACAATGAATTTAGTACGAAATTTTGAATAAACAAAGCTTCAACATTATATCTAAATGAAAATATTAAAGATTAGTATAAGCTGGTAGAATTAAATAAAAGAATCGAAATACTTTGTATCTTAAACATAAAAACAAATTAGGCTTAAAAAATACAATCTCAATTCATATTACTTATTAGTGATATAATTAAATTGCTAAACTATATAATTCGTAGTTTTATTATCCAATATCGAATATATAATTATTGGGGATACGGGCTTTTTTTCTATGAATAAATGAAGCAATATCCTATTAAGATTTTCCCATTAATTGCAATTAACTCTCGTAAATGATCAAAAAAAAAAAAAAAAAAAAAAAAAAAAAAGGAAATTTATTAAAAAAAAAAATTTATTAATAAAAATATTTTATATATTTTACATTTTATCATTATCGTTGATTCTATGTATTTTCTATTGATTAATGTTTATATTTCTTTCAAGAAAAAAAACAAAACAAAACAAAACCAAAAAGTAAATTATCATTCATTGTTATTTGAAAAAATATTAGTTAATATAAATAATGCTGATAATTTTAAGAATTATAATATTAATTATCGAAAACAATAAAGTTAAATAAAACATATATCATAATTAAATAAAGCCTACCCAACGTAAGCTGTGATTGAGATATTAATCTGTTAGGTACAACTAAAAATTCAATGTTAATGCATATTTATATACGTAAATTTATTCTGGATATGTTGATTTAATAATTTATAAATATAAACAATAAATAAATAATAGATAACTTTAATGGATTAATCTAAACGTTATTCCATAAACGAATTATCGCCACTTTCTGATCAATGCAAAAAATGCCTTATCTGTTTTCTAGTTAAAATTTAATATTCTTTTATTTCTAAAAATATATCGAACATTAAGCTTTGGTTATTATTATTATTTTGTAATATTAATTTAATTGCTTTTAAGTACTATAATTGATCTAGTTCTATAATGTAAACGTTATCAGTTTCAAAGCTACATAAAAATGGTTATAGTAATATTGATGATTATTATCTCACAATATTTAATCTTTTATTCATTTTCAGAAAATATTCCGCAGTAACAAGTAAGAATTATAGTGGAATACAAAAGAATTTATGAGCATGTATTAGCGACACAGATATTACTCGAAAATATTTCATTATTGTTTTATATTACTTAATTTAATTATCGATTGAATATTTATAATTTATTTAAACCATGAGATTTAAATTAAAACATATTAATTCAAAGTGAAAAAGTATTAAAGCACAGTTAATTTAAGGGACATACAAAATAAAAAAACCGAAGACACTGATTTTCGACAAAGGCATGTTAAAAAAAAAGAGGTATTTTTCTTGTGGACAAATTTAACTGATTGTTATGGTGTCCAGTTTTATGTCAAAAGTTTTTTAGTCATGACTTATTTTATTTAGAATTTCTATCGTGATAAATAATTAGTAAATGATAATAATGAATATTCTTATTACAATATATAGAATTATTCATTGTTAAAAAATGTTTTTATTCAGTCATATTTAACTCCTGAAAAACCAAATAGATGTCATTAGACTTTCGCTATGATTGATTAAATAATTTAAAAAATAACAAGTTTTCATTTTGTATTATAATTTGGTTATGTTTAAATTTTATAATAGTAAAATATTCAATTATTATACAAATGAATAAATTGGGTAGACAGGTAAGGTAATAGAATAATTAAATTAAATCTCTTAAAATGTTTATCACTTTTTATCGGCATTATATATAGAAATATATATATATATATATATATATATATGTGTGTGTGTGTGTGTGTGTGTGTGTGTGTGTGCGTATATATATCGATAAAAAATGAATATATATAAATATATATATATTACTGATAAAATATTTTTGTAAAGTAATTCAGTGACGTATTGCCTATATGTTGAAACTAATCAAAAAGTAGAAAATATAAATATTGGTAAATATGTGATGTAGCGCGGATATTCCATTTCGTGCTACAATTACAATGTGAAAATATCTCGAATAAAAAACTCTTACTGTTACATAGTTGGCTCAAATGAAAAAAAGGATTCATTGTAAAAAAGAAAACTATAGATTTTACTTTTCAGGCTATTAATGCTATGTTTCTTTCCAATTTTATCGATCATTTTAAAATTGTTTGTCATATTATATATAATAACACAGTAATTTGTAAATAAAATTCAATTGAAATAAATAAACGAAATTCCTATTATATACTTATAACAAATTTTTAAAAGTAGAATCAAATTTTTATAATAAATGTTAATGATGCAAGAAGCGTTGTATTATAGCAACGAAAAAAAAAACAACGTTTAAATAATTTACATTTTTTTAAAACAGTGATTTATTATTTTAGGTGTGAATAAACTATTTAAAATGTTATTAAAATGTCTTAAATTAATGATATTCTGTCAATGTACAAGTATTATCGGCCATTTATCAATTTATCGCTTAAGATTTCTATTAAAGATTAGGTAATCAATCATTACAACTTTACAAATGTATGGAATAAAACTCTCTGATTTAAAATAAAATTAATGAATTTTGTTTAATACAATATCTTATTATAAATGTAAAAAAGCGTTAATTTTCTTCAATATTTGATGAACTTTTGAATTATATTAATTTTTGTTAATTTATAAAACATGAAATTATATTTACGTAATGTATATTTATATTCGATTTTACATTTTTCCTTGAAAAATCACTTTAATGCTAATAGTTTCAATATATTTTAGTAATATTTTAAGAAGAAAACTATACAACTTTACTTCGAGTAATATTATAAACTACATTGAAACAACAAAATCTGTATATTTAATTCGTTGATTACAGAATTCCATGTTTTTAAATTGTATGTTTTATGATTATAATTATTAGATTACAATTGTGCAAAAAAATTTCTTTTTCAAGTTGAATCTGATTTTAGGATTAGATTAGATTTCAAGTATATTTAAGATAAAATTCCCACTATAAATTCGTAAATAAATAAATACCTTAATTAAAAATAAATAATTCAAATGGGTTTTTTAAGATTTAGTTTAGTTTATTAAGTACTTGCCTCTTTATATAATCATATCAAAAATATCTAAACATATATGTCGATATTGTAAAATTTAATTATATTAAGTGTTAATTTAAGTATATATATATATATATATATATATATATATATATAGTTATCTGCTTGCTAGAATATTAATAATAAATTCTGAATATTAATAATGAACATTTATTAGAATTATAAGATAATAATAAATTTTGAAATAAAATTTTCTAAATATTTTAATACTCTTTTATATGAATGATAAAGATAGTCTTTGATATTAGATTGCCATTATGTTTTAAATGGTAATATGAAATTCAAATATAAAACTCTTAATATTATGACCAATTCCGTATGGAAGACTTATAAGTTCATTTCATAGAATTTCGTAAGTTCGCGTATATGCAATAATGTGTTATTTTCATTACTGATCTTAGCAATTAATTTCAATGTACGATTACTCTTATAATTGAAATTTTTCGATGTTCTTTGGTAGATTACAAAAAATATTGCTTTATGAAAATCTCATTATCGGCATTTATTTTCAACTGAAGTCCAAGAATGTACATTAAATACATTAGATAAATTGAAAAATTATTAAAATAGTTCTTAAGTATTCAATTATTTCTGCATTAGCGTCAATAATTTAGTTCAAATAATCGTACTCATATATTATCGATTACCTATCTTTATTTAATAATAATATTTTTAATTAGATATTAGATTCTAAATAACTCTAAGAATTCTAAAAATATCGAAATAGTTGTTTGCCATTGGCTTTCCTTATTCATTATTAATCACATATTCACTAGTATTCGTCAAATGCTTATGTAACAACCCGCGCTTCTTTAATGTTATAAACTTACCATCACTAACATATCGAATATAATATCACTTTGGCGCAATAGGCGTTGCTGAGAGTATGTATTTTGTTTCTAAGAAAGAAAACATTGTAAGGTTTTCCTCGTCGACTGAGACGTTGGCCCGGTTACGATAAGCTGTTCTGTATAAAAGAATTTAATATAATTATGTTTCTAAGGTTTCTGTAATAAAAACTAAACTGTATAAATCTGAAATAATTGTATTTTCTGCTTTAATAGGAATAAGGCAATTAATTAATTAATTACTTTACAGTGATACAAATTCAGATATTTATTGAACCCCGATTGTTCTGTACGCGTAAACGCGCGTGCAATTTTAGATTACAATTCATATAGAGATTTTAAGTTTTTAGGCGCCGGACTAATAAATATAGGCTAATAAATATTATTTATATATATTCCAGAAATCTGAGTTCTATTTTAAATATTCCACCTGACATTACAATATGAAAGAACAGAAAATGTTGTCATTATAGAATTAGATGCTTTCAGAAAATAGAAAAATAACGAAATAACAGATAAATATTATTATGTAGTATTTTCATTATATGATTTAAATTATCAATAAAATTCATTAATTAAGCTTACTTTTCCAATAAATGGATAAAACTATAATTTGTATAAAAATGAAAAAAAGAAGATCTTATAGTACAATTAATGTAATTATGTGCAGTATGAATTGTCTAGTTAAATGTTAAGAATCTTCTTCTTTCATTCTTGTTATTATTATTATTATTATTATTTTTTTTTATTTTTTTTTTTTTTTGTCAAATCTTCGTCGTCGTCGTTGTTGTTATTATTATTATTTATTATTCATCATACTATTCAACATTTGAAATAAATTCATTTCACACACGTCAATTATTATATAAACAAAATATTGAATTAATTTTCTAAAAAGAGATAATCTTTGACCTTATCCAACGAATGGATATTAAATATTTTAAATTGATATTAAAGAAGATTTTAATAAGTAAAGGAGGAGTAGGAAATCAGATATTTGTTTTTCAGACTCTGTCTAAATTTTTCTTCATTATCAATAATATATTGTTGGTATAAGATGATTGGTAATAGATAATAGACGTAAGTCAGATAAATTTTGATCTTAATCATAAATCGATTGGTATATAATCACCTATCAGTTTACACAATTCGATACAACAATGTCTATGAAGCTCGTCTTGTTTAGCTGCTTTGTGGCAGTCGCATATGCCAGTGAGTAAATTATAATTTTTCTAGTTCAATAATACAAAAAATACGATCATTTTAGGATAATAAATGCATCCGATTATAATAAAAACATTGTATGTTAGAGGCGACTATAATAACTTACATGTATTTAGTAATTAAGTCTTTGCAAATTAATAATAATTTCCTTCTCAAATCCATTTTCACTTTAAGATAAAGAGGAGTGCTTAAATGGCAGATATAATATCGTTATTTTGGCCAATTTCAGCAATAAATTTCAACTCAGTGGTTCGTTTATTTAAAATCATTATATCCCGCGATATGTGGCCCAATAATTAATCGATGCAGACTCATTGTAAAATCGTGTTTAAATATTTCGTTGCATAATTTAATGTCATAATTGATAAAAAGATTAATTAATTAATCAGATGTGTGTTATCAGCGGCATATTTATACACGCTGGTTATACTTCTGTTTCATTGTATTGTCACTTTATCGATGACCTGATTTGATCGGATGATTATTTATTTTACGTTTATGTTGGTACGGTGTTTTGCCGGGGATAACGAATCATAATATATCTGAGCACTGATTCTTATTGTCGTATCGTATCAGTCGTTATACGTCTTCGAGCATCCTACCTTTCCTTCCTAGCTCTACCTACCCGCTCAATTATATCATACAAATTCCTCAATACCAATTGTGTAAAGCTCCTTCTTTTGGAAAACTGCAAATAATTGCAACGATTTTTTCAAGGAGCGTTTAATCGCGATTACTTTCAACTTGCCAAGTACTCATTCCAAGATATCGGTCAAACTTTTTTACGTCCGTCTTCATTCTTTTTGCTTATTATTATTATTATTATTATTATTATTATTGTTGTTGTTGTTATTATTATTATTGTTGTTATTGTTATTGTTATTATTATTGTTATTATTGTTGTTGTTATTATTATTATTGTTATTGTTATTGTTATTTTTCATCTTCAATATTTCGTACTTCAACGTTATATCGCGCGCCTTTGGCGAATCGGACGGCTTTTTCTCAATTTGCTGGCTACTCGTGCTACTTACGCAGCCCCTTAAAATCGCTCCTCAATATCACATTTTTACCCGAGGCTAAATAATCCGTTCACAGGCCAGCCGTACATTGGGCTGCGACTGCCGCCGTTCGGACCGCGTGTCGTTGGCGGTGAGGAGGCCGCGAAAGGCGAATTTCCTCATCAAGTATCACTCCAATGGGGCTTACCACCGGTCCTCCATTTAAGTCACTTATGCGGTGGCAGCATCATTAGTGAAAGCTGGGTCCTGACTGCGGCTCATTGCCCCCGAGGTGTGCCTTTCGGCAGGCTGTACGTGAAGGCTGGCAAACATCAGATAACTCATAAGGAAAGTAACGAGCAGACGTCGATCGTCAAACAGACGTTCGTTCATCCCAAGTATCCAGGGTAAGTGAGGCACACTGATAAGCTGCTTTTCGATCTGTGCTTTTAGTGATTTTCTCTGAGAAAGATATAATTAGGTGATTCATGCGATCGTGAGGGATCGTGAGTGATCGTGAGGAGGTTTGCAATTATTATTAGAATTTCAATTGATAGCGACACTGCCGTAATGCCAAAACAGATGTAATGCGAATTACTCTAAGATAAAGGCATCTGAGCTAATAATGGCCAATACAACTAATTAATAGTAGCACAACGATCATTGGCGTACCTACCTATTCGCGATTGAAATGCTAAGGAGACGAAAAAGGTTTGATTTAATTGACCATTAATTGTTCATAGTGAAACAATGAGTTTTATGCGTTTAAAGTACTTTGGAAGGAAAAAAAATCGACGAGTAACGAGCAAGCGATTTAATCATGCTGAGTAAATGGAATGCCTTTGAAAGAGCGACAGACGGTCTATTCGTTCGAAAATGGAATGTCGTTGAAATATGAAACTTAACACGCGTACTCGCGACAATCGTCGATTAAGCAAATCCTTCAAACATTACTTCGTCGATGGCATTAAAATCTTATCGCCGCAGTCATGAAACCCCTTGCGTACTATGTAAAAATAAATTTCTCTAACTCTGTCATTTGTAAGGTAATTAATTGTATTATTGGCATTATTGTTAATAATAGAATAGGATAAGTTTGCGAAGTGGCTTATGCAATTAATAAATTATTTTTCAGAAACGTCGCTCCTTACGACATTGCTTTGTTGCTATTAGACAAGCCGTTTGTGCTGAATAGCTTCGTTCAGCCGATCAATCTCCCAAAGCCCGACAGTATACCCGAAGGTCAAGTGACTCTTTCCGGCTGGGGATCGGTATCCAGCACTCAAATCCCGTCCATGCCAGCTACTTTGCAAAAAGTCGATCTACCCATTATTGACCTCGAAAATTGCAAATTGGCATTTGATAAGATACTGCAATTTGTTTCACTTGCCGACAGCAATGTTTGCACTGGTCCATTAACCGGCGGATACTCGGCCTGCAATGTAAGCTTTAAAAATCACGCGAGCCCTTACTAAATAAATGAGCAATAAGATTATTTTAATAGATTAAGATATTTTATCTTTTATCAATTATTGCCTTTTTTTTTTTTTTTTTTTTTAATTTTAAATAAGCCAAAAATATTCGTTACATTCTCGAATCATCCATTCTCCTCTATATCAATTGACTTAATTTAAATTAAATGTGAATTTTAGGGCGACTCTGGTGGCCCGTTGATGCAAGTTAACAAGGAAGGGAAACCCGAAATAATTGGAATCGTTTCCTGGGGAATCGTACCCTGCGGTACAGTTGGAGCTCCATCGGTTTACACCAGAGTATCGGCTTACATCGACTGGATCGACAACATTGTGAATGAGAATTCTTAATTCGTGAAATAAGAATTGTTGTTATTGTAAAATTATTATTGTACATTTTTTTTAATTTTAATAAAAAAAATGAAAAATATTTACTAATTTTGTTTGACAATATTTATATAGAAACACCATCTCATTACTAAGTACATTTAGTACACAATACATGTACGATGCTAATTATTTTTCAAACATTCTTATACATTGTAATCTTAATGACAATGTCTATGCAATTATTCGACAATCATAAATAATCGAGAGTTAATTTATTAGTGGTAAAACTTTATTTATAATAATATAATAATTAAATGTAAATTGATTATTAAGCATATCAACAAAAAAAAATTGTAATTTCAAGCTTTCATAGAATATTGAATATCAAAATTAAAAAATATATCTATAAAAATTCTTTCTTTTATGAACAATACTTTTACGGAAACTATTTTATATTTAATATGCTTTTTACAATTACAATGTTTTATTTAAGTTAATACTTTCGAAAAAGTCCTGTAGTTATGCCATATGTTAAATGTATTCCTATTACGTTCAACTTGCAATAGTTTTAAATGTAATTATAAAATATTACACCAGCCCCTTTTTTTTATTATTTTACTTTACTCAGAATACTTATTAAATATGTATTTTTAAGTAATTTGTATTTTATTCGAACATTAATTTATTTCTAAATTTGGTCGCTCAGTTTCAAATAAAAATTCACGAGATATTTTCAATTTTATGTATTAATATTAAAGAACCGAGTAGATTTTAATCGTACAATCAGTCAACGACATATTGCAATGTTTTGATGTTGTTGTTGTTGTTGTTGTTTTTTTTGTTTTTTTTTTGCAATATAATATCAAACAACGATAATGCACATTTTTAATAAATCAAATTGACATATAGTTGATGACGCCACCCAAAATTGTGTATATTATTCGTTATTATAAATTACAAATCCATTCGTTCCACGAAGGAAAAAAAAAACATTATATTTACATTTATATTTATTATATAAAGTTTATCGGTATATGTCTTGGATATTAAATAATTCTATTTAATTAAATTCATGCTTTTTGCACGACGCATTCACTTGCATTACAACAGTGAGTGCGTCCACCGGAACGTTTGGGTCTGTTGAAATAATAATGAAAATAGGTTTCTAATAATTTTAATCTTTGTCAAGTATTTATTAAAATTTATAAAATTTATAATCCTTCATAGACTAATTACAGACAGGATGAATTAACTTTTCCATATTATTCGAGTACAAAACCAATGTGAAGGATGTTGTCATAGAACAAACACGACAATTTGTCAGTGTTCAATTTCAGATAAAAAAAAAAGAAGAAAATTATCTCTATACGAGAAAAGGAAATTGGCTTATGTACTTTTTTTTTTTTTTTTTTTTTTTTTTTTTTTTTTTTATAAATTAACAATTTTAACAAACCAATATTTCAATATTTATAATTATAATAAAATTCATGCTTAATCGAAAGCTCGATTTTCATACTTATTTTTTGCTTTGTTTTTGTTATTGTTATATTACAAAGGGAAATTGCAAGTCAAGTAAATTAGTTAAAGTTAAAATCAATTAATTTACATTCCAATCCTTGATATCTTTATTCAGTTTATAAAGAACGTGAATTCTTCAAATATGCTCGGACAATTCCGTTAATTGGCATTATTTATAAATCGGCTTTTATTCTTTGCCTTTAAAATCAGATAAAGTTTAATGATTAAATAAAATCTACGATTAACGATTAAAGTAGTAAATCTCGGTAAGGCTGGCACCTGTTTTGTCGAATTGATGAAATATTAACTCCTAAATTAATGTAAAATCTTTACCAATGGCAATAGCAACAGGCGAATGTGATTTGTACATAAGTCTCGATTATAAAAAGTAGAAAAAGGCGTTTCTGTCAATAGCCTTTTATGCTGAATTACTTCCGCTGTTCAAGAAAAATGGATACAGTTGGTCTTGCCTAATGATTCAGTCTTTCTCTCTCGACACTATATCGATCTCGGGCTTGTTCAACTAAGTGTACAACCGCACAGAAACAGATCGAGAACTAATCCGAGATCACATCTTTTTTCCGCGTCCGCATAACGCGATTTTCGAAACCGCGCAATTGAAAAAGTCTGGCATTCGTTCTCTGAGCCTTCGGCTAGTCAAACCTATTGTTTATGTTCTGTTAAGGATTTTCGTCGATACGACTATGTTAAGAATATTGTTTTTGGTGCTTTTTATCGTGTTTGATATACCGCACAATAACGGTGAGTAATTTCGAAATTTATTCGTTAATAAATTATAAGCCAGAAGCCAAAATAAATTAATAAGATTGTAAAATGCAGGCTTTCGGTCGTTTGGATATGTCGTCTGTCTGTTTGAAATGATGAAATAATCTTTTCCAAGTCTGTGAATCGATCCTTCTACCTGTTAATAAATTGATATTAATTATTCGATGATTAATATATTAACAGAATAAAATTTTTTTTAATTCGTATTTTCAATCACGTCTTCCGACAGTTTATTAATATTAACAATCGGATCTAAGAATAAGATTAATCAAAGTGTCATTTGATTATTATATCCCAATGTACGAACTATTTCATGTTTACAAATATCGACAAAAGATTTTACAAAACATTCCCAATTTTTATAATACCCAACGAATAAAATAGCAATTTTTATATCTCATTAATACAATAAATATAATATGCGCGTATATACGTAGATAAAGATAATTGTGAAAATGTAGTTTGCACTTTTAATCTTGTGTCTTTTTTATTTAATCTTTAATTTTCAATCTTCCAATTACTTTAATCTTCAATCTCATTAATTTTTAACAATTGTTTTTTTTTTTTTTTTTTTTTTTTTCAACATTTAACCTATGCTTTTCCTCCCGTTATTATATAAAAATATCTTGTAAAATTACGTGTACCAATACAACTGTCATTTTTTTAATATGAAAAGGATAAATTTAACCGATTCAAGATAGGATTACAAAAACTTTCATCTAAATATAAATAAAAATTATATCCTTATTTCTTTTATTATCTTATTGCATGCATTATTTTAACTAAAATTAGATAAAATTTCAAGCGCTTTTATACATTAAAGAAAAGAGTTATTATTACATAAAATACGGAAAATTTACACGTTGCAAACGCTAAGTATAATTAAATTGAAATGAATATTTTTATAATTAGTAGTAAATATATCAAGGCGGACTGACAAACTGGTAATAGGGTAAAACAATTAATTTAACTATTATTAACGAAATTTTCATTGCAATTTCTTATTCAATCCACTAAACTTATTCTTTATTAAAATTACTTTATTTTCTTTAATTTTTTTTTTTTTTTTTTTTTTTAATTATTATAATCAAATGGTATATGTCGTATTTCAAAGATTTATAAAAGTTGGTAATATCCGACGAAACCCAATCCATCTCCATTGATTATCGATTTACGAGTCAGTTATGAGTAGTAACACGACTCGTTACTTTTCTCTGCACTTTCCGGCTTCATCGCCGCCACCATCACTACAACCACCCACCGTATACAGTCAAGCCCTCACTCATCCGTCCCCTTTCACTTATACACTCCCATAATTGGTGTGGTCTCCTCCTCCTTCTCCTCGCCATCCCTTGCTCCGCCGCCTCTCTCGCCCGCCGCTCGCACGAAGAGTGGGAAAGATTTTTCAAAGAAGAGATTTTCACGAAAATTCGCCCCTGGATAAAGCAGGCTCCGAGTCGGAGCTGGCGTTGCTCGCCGAGCGGCCGACCCGGATCGTCGGGGGCGAGGACGCCGAGCAGGGCCGACACCCTTGGCAAGTCTCCCTCCATTGGCTCAACAAGAAACGTGGCATACAGCCCCGGCACGTCTGCGGGGGAACGCTCCTCACGGCTGGTTGGGTCCTAACTGCTGGGCACTGTAAGACTTTGTCACCCAAGAGGCCCGGCGGCCAGTACCTCATCTACGCGGGCAAGCACGAGCTAGGCATTACCGAGGATACCGAGCAGAGCCGTCTCGTCCAGGAGACCTTTGTCTACCCGGACTACAAGGGGTACGTCAGATTCTTCTTCTACGCCGGATCTTTTTCCACGTTTATCTAGTGTATCTACTCAATCTATCCCCCCACCCGCCTCCTCCACCTCCACCTCCTCCTCCCTCGCCAGCCTTTAAGGTTGTTTCAACGCCGTAGCCAATGACTTTTATCACGCGTCTTCGGATAGTTGACGCATCTAAAGGTTCGTATGTCTGGCTCCAGCTCTACGCAATAATCGACGAGATACGTGCGAATAATCTCGCAAACACAAACGTTAGCAATTCAACGTCGACATCCGGTAGTCATTTGCTTAATATCGAAAAACTATCCGACCGGGCCACTTAACTATTTCATTTTGCTTTCTGTTATTAATGTTTATTCATTAATTCGTTGATAGTAAGTTGAGGAGCGAGAATCCGTATGACAAAAAATTCTGTAAACATACGTATGTAAGGATCCGCGTAACAGTATAGGAGAAAGTCTTTGGGAAAAGTTGGCTGGAAAAGAAGGGCGGACGTGCTGCTGTGTTTTTGATTATCGATAATTTGTCGAGACGATTGCTTCGGGCGGGTAATGCTTAACCCATCATAGATTAAGGTTGGATGCTAATGGTACGATATGCGATCGCTGCAGCTCAGTCGGCCCATACGACATCGCCCTGATGAAGCTGGAAGAGCCGTTCGAACTTAACGACTACATATCAACGGCCTCCCTACCCTATCCGGAAGAAATGCACAGCGGTAGTGCTGTATTGACTGGTTGGGGCAGCGTCAGCAGGACTCGCAGGCCCGAGAGCCCGGAAGTACTGCAAGCTGCAACACTGCCAATACTGGATTACGAGGAGTGCCGGGAAGCGCTGAGCGATCGCCTCAAGAAGGAGGGACGGAATCCGCTTCATCCAACGAACATCTGCACGGGTCCTCTCGACGGCTCGCAATCGGCCTGCAAGGTGAATCAAATGGCAAAATCTCTTTGGTTTACCGATGATCAAATGGCATAATCTCTTTGGTTTATGATCGACCCACGTGATTGGGAATTAATGCAACGTATCGCGTTTTATAATAGGAGTCGCACAGTCGATTAATAGGATTGAATAATAAATTTGACAATTGATAATGGTATTTAGTTAAAGGTGTTAATGTGCGTGTATGCTCGCCTCGCGTCCAGAGAAAATTTGAAATGCTAATTCCTAGGTTTCGTATAGTTGACCAATCGACGTAATGGGCGAAAGGGAAGGAAAGAAGAAGTAAAATAATGAGCATTACGTTTTCATATTATGAAATTTAATGTTGTTTTGCAGGGTGATTCGGGAGGACCACTGGTAGTGACGAATTCTTTCGATATGGTTGAAGTAATTGGCGTTGTGTCTTGGGGATTGTTTCCTTGCGGCGGAAGAAACGCTCCATCCGTCTACACGAGAGTTTCCGCCTTCGTCACGTGGATTCACAGAATCATGTTGAATCATTAAAAAAATTATTATATCCTAAATTACCTGATTTATAATGAGATAGATAATTGTTAGGCGATTTTGTGATAAATTTGTATTGTACATAGAGAATGAAATAAAATGGAAACAATATTGTGTTACGGAATAAATGTTGTGATGTTTTCTGGAGATATTGGGGGAGCAACGAGCAATGATTATTAATGGATATGCTTCGATCATCCTTTGAAGTGAAAAGTAACATTAACGAAATTCCACGCCTCAATCAATGATATGCGTACGCAATAATAATATGTATAAATGAATTTTATTTATTTACAATTTTATTCATTAGCATTGAAATTTTAAGCAAACTCTCAACAAATTAAGAGATATGTAATGTCTCGGCGCAAGTTTCCATTTACCAATTAATCCAACTCGTAATTCAATTACATTCTACAATAAATAATTTCTTTATAAGCTCATGTGTGATATTCAAAAGTTTCATTCAACTATTTTTCATCGGTGCACGATATAGATATTTATAACAATAATTTAAGCTGCGTCAGTAACTTTTACCTCCTTTTCCATGCCTTATAAATTGCCTTACAAATTGCTTTTATTCGTATGATTATCGTTGCATTATATTTCATTTATGAATCATATTTATTTTTTTCCAACTACAACAAACATTTGATTAAATAATGCGAAGAAAATTGAGAAAATTACCTATTAAGGTTTCTCATTATATTTATCATTGTGAAACGGGAAATTTTCATTATACATAAATGCCTCTTTCTGCTATTAATAATTAAAAAAAAAAAAAAAAAAAAAAAATTTATTCGCTGCTGTTACGTTAGAAGGAGTACATAGTATACGTGTACACACACATATAGCGCAGTGATACGTCTGAAAAATAACGGAGAAGAAGTTAGTTAGCCCCGAGTAAAAAGCGGTTCTCTGATAAATTGGGTGTTCCTCTCGATCTTTTTGTGTTACGATCATTAGATCTCCACAGCGTAAATATTAAGACGGCAAACCAGTTTTTGATTTTTGTTAGTTTAAGCGGTTCGATTCAATCTTTGAAAATATAATTACAGAGTGGTTCAAGTTCGTTATTCACGCCAATGTTCAGTAATAAAATGCAATAAAATATAAATGGGTAAAAATTTTTTAATATAAAATTATAAATTACACAGGTGTGAGGGTGGGTGGGTTGGGGGGGGGGGGGGGGGGGGCCCC